TTAAAAAAAAAAAAAAAGGCCGGGCACAGTGCCTCATCCTGTAATCCCAGCACTTTGGGAGGCCAAGACGAGAAGATTGCCTGAACCTGGGGATATGAGACAGCCTGGGCAACTTGGTGAGACCCTGCGTCTACAACAAATAACAAAATTTAGCCGGTTGTGGTGGCGTGTGTCTGTAGTTCCAGCTAATTTGGAAGGCTGAGGCAGAAGGATTGCCTAAGCCCAGCAGGTTGAGGCTGCAGTGGCCATGAGTGTGCCACTGTACTCCAGTCTGGGTGACAAGAGTGAGACTCTAACTCAAAAAAAACCAAAAAACAACACAGAATTATACTCAGTCCCCACTTAATGAACAGATCATGTTATAAAAATTCCATTAGAACTGATTTTCTCCAAGGAAGCCTGTTGTAGAAGAGAATTAAGTTTCCAGGTCGATGCACAAATGTTGAGCCCATGATGAACTGAAGATTTGTGTCATTGGCATGATTTTAGCCACACCCAACCACCATTTATAACATTATATGGGAAACATTATCATAAGACCAGTGGCGTTTCCCTTCTCTGTCCACTGCCTCCACATTCATGAGACACAGGGCCTCATTGCTTGCTGACTTCTCCCTGAGAGAGTTGTTTTATATTTGCACATTGATGTGGTAGAATGGGACATCTCTGCTCTTCCAACTCTGCATAAAAGGAAGATCTTTTCAGCACCTCTACATCTATATAAGGGGCTTCTCTGCACTTCCATATTTGTAGCAGGTGGTGTTTTAATTGGGCAGCCATTCCTTGGGCCATCTGAATTGTACAGCAAAGGTCTTCTACCTGCTCCTCTGTCCAGGTGCTCTGGACACATAGCCCCTTAAGTCTGGGGTTCACATGGTCCCTTGGTAAATTGGGTGACAAAGAGTGAGACTCCAACTCAAAAAAACCAAAACAAACAAAAAAACATGCTCTAGGTTATTGACCATAATCACACTCTTGTACAACTTAATCATTTCTGCATGGCCACCCCTCTCACACCCACTACCAGGGAGGACCAAAAAAAAACCCAGAATTATCTTTTGGAGGGCGGGCCCTTTATAGTACACTCAGTATTTATTCCTCCAGAGCAAATGGTCAACCAAAGTTTGTATCTGGAAGTTTTGAGAAGATTGCGTCATGATGTGCAAACGAAACATCCCGAGTTGTGGCGAACAGGCAACTGGTTCTTCCATCATGACAACGCACCTGCCCACACAGTGCTGAGTGTTCAGCAGTTTTTGACCAGAAACGGCATGACCTCCATGCCCGACCCTCTCTATTTACTCAGTCTTACCCTGGGCAACTTTTTTGTGTTTCCCGGGATGAAAAAAAATCTTCAAAGGGAAACATTTTGCCAATGTGGAAGAAGTGAAACAAAAAATGGCAGAAGCACTTAAAAGGCATCAAAATTGATAAGTTCAATAATTATTTTGAGCAGTGGCAAAGGCATTTCAGTAGGTGTATTGCATCAAATAGAGAGTACTTTGAAGGTGTCTGAAATTTAGACATGTAAGAATAAATACACAATTTTTTATAAGTAAATTCCGGGACTTGAGAGTCCTCCATCATACAACATTGTCCCCCCCAGGACCATTCCATGGGTGCAGTAATCTTTCTGCAGCATCCCCTAACCTTGGTGTCTGGCCTTGCCTAAACTGGTCCTGCTTTCTATGACTGAGGGCTCATTACATTGTAAGATACCCCTTGGGTTCTTTTCCAGCTGTCTATGAGACACATCTTCTGAGCTTCCCTAGAATGAGCATTCACTGATCCTGGCACTCCCTGTGGAGCTCATGGAAAAATTCAGTCTCCCCTACTCCTGACAGCTCTGTAATTCAAGTTCATCAAGCCCTCTCCGAGTGTTCCATTCTCTGGACTGAACATCATCTTATGTGCATGGATCATAAGCCTCTCCTATTCAGTCTCCTTAGGATCAGCATTTGTTTCTCAATGTAGTCTTTAAGTTGTGCCCTGGACCAGACTTGAGTGTAATATTCTAAATGTAGTCCGACCTGTGCCTTCCTTGATCTAAGGTCTGCTCTTCTAGCTTGCAGTGATATTTTCTGTGCTTCTGTTTATCCACTCTCCACTGTGTGCCAGACCCAGTGCATATGTTGTGTTATTTCTTGGAAAACTGAAGCAGGAATTGTTATTCCCATTTAGAAACAATGAAGCAGAGGTTCTGAGAGGTGAAAGAGAAAGAGCTTTGCTTGAGTTGGTATGATTCAAGCCTGAGCTCTTCCTACTCTGGCATGCTGCTTCTCTGTTCTAACTAAAAGCACCTGGATAATCAGTTCTGTGCTGCTCCCCTTCGCTGAATTTTCCTTTTTCCACAGCCAGGGTTATTCTTTTTGGAGACAGGAGGAATAGAACTGGAGTTGAGCATGCCTGTTTCTGCTGTGTCATGTCTGACTTGACATTACACTGCCTTCTCCAGCAGGGCATCATTCCTTCCCTACTTTTTATTCTGGGCCTGAATAGAGCTCAGAGAGCCTTTTCTAATATCCTTGGTTCCTTTTGAACCCCATCCTTGGGTTAGGGATGTGTTCTTTTTTGTATCTCAGCTCCTCAGGGATTTCCCGGAGTGACCACCTGACATTCTTGGCTGTTTCTGCCCTGCCTTGGGGGAGCAAGTGTGATGATACAATCGGAAACCATTTTTAGAGAGTCCACTCCCTGCCTCCATATGCCCTGTATAATATGGAGCCTGAAGTCTTGCCCTTCAGTTCTCTCAACTTTTTGAACATTGCCTTCTCACAGTGGTTTCTGAGTCTGACAGCATCAGGATGAGGTACTTGCTAAAAATCCAGGCTCCTGGCCGGGTGTGGTGGCTTAGCCTGTAATCTCAGCACTTTTGGAGGCTTAGGCAAGAGGATTGCCTGATCCTGGGGGTTCGAGACCAGCCTGTACAATTTGGTGAGACCTCATCTCTACAGTAAATCACAAAAACTAGCTGGGCGTGGTGGCGTTGTGTCTGTATTTCTAGCTACTTGGAAGGCTGAGGCCACTGTACTCCAGGCTGGGCAATAAGAATAAGACTCCAACTCAAAAAAAAAAAATACAGGCTCCTGGGTATGCTTCCAGAGAAGTTGATTCAGTGTGTGGTGCCGGGAATACATATATTTTACAAGTGCTCCCAGGTGATTATGAAACAGCCATTTGGAAACTGTCCGTCTTGGCCACATGTCTGATCATGTCTAATCTGTACCTCATGGGCCATCACAAACTTGAAAATCTCATGGTTTCATTTCTCAAGGTTCTAATTACTTCTGTTTCATAGGCCAATTTTTTCAAAATTCTTTAAGAATTTAGTGTCTTCTTCCCATACCTCTCCTTTCTGAGCTATTTATAGAGAGTTATATTCGCTGTTCAACGAATGAACTTAATTTCAAACAATCTCTAGGACATACATTTATAAGAAAAACAAATTCAAAAATATATTGGACACTTGGCTTTTGGCTAAATGTAACTTCAAAAGATGTATCAGTCACACATTTTCCCATTACGTTCTGACTTGCTGGTTTGAAATGTTTTGTCTTTCATGTTACTTTTCTTCTGGGTGTAGTCAAGTGTTGAACAGTGGATTCCCTCAGTGAAGTTGCTTCAATTTTTCTTTCCTTTTATTCTTATTCTCGCAGTGCATTCCACTGTTTTCCCTCAGGTTTGCAGATTTAGGGGCCATTATATACTTCTTGACCAAATAAGTCTATTCTTCTTCCTTTTTTTTTTGAGTCAGCATCTCACTTTGTCACCTAGACTAGAGTGCAGTGGTATGCTCACGGCTCAACTGGCTGGACTCAAATGATCCTTCTGCCTCAGTCTTCCAAGTAACTGGAGCTACAGGCATGCGCCACCATGCCCAGCTAATTTTTTTTTTTTAATTGTATAGATGAGATCTTGCCAAGTTGCCCAGACTGGGCTCAGGCAGTCCTCTTGCCTCAGCCTACCAAAGTGCTGGGATTATAGGTATGACCCATCATGCCTGGCTCTTCCTCTGTTAATCACCTTGTTTCTTTGAGACCTTTCTGTGGCCCGCTGCACTGAGACTGTACCTCATGTAGACTATGATCCTAAGTTCCTAACAGAACTCTGTGGGCATATGGTCCTCCCATCATTTCCTGTTGTCATTTCTCCCAATTTTATGTGCATCGCCTTGCTTTGCCTTAACATGATGTTTTATAAATAACTATTATCACAATATAGGTTTTTTTCTTTTTCTGCTCCACATTTTAACTTTAATCCCCTTGCTGTAGCGTAATCTTCTCACAGAAAAGATCCATATAATAGCCAGGCACAATGACTCCTGTCTGTAATCCCAGCACTTTGGGAGGCTGAGGCAAGAGGATGCCTGAGCCCACAGGTTCGAGACAAGCCTGGACAACTTGGCGAGACCTCATCTCTACAGTAAATCAAAAAAATTAGCCAGGCATGGTGGGGCACGTCTGTAGTTCCAGTTACTTGGAAGACTGAGGTGGAAGGATCACCCAGAAAGGTCAAACTGTGGTGGCAATGAGTGGGCCACAGCATTCTAGCCTGGGCAATGGAGTGAGACTCCAACTCAAAAAAAATTCATATCATTTTTGCAGTTTGCCAAACCCTTGAAGAGATCTGTCATTGTCTGGCCTGAGTAAGTGTCCTAATTAGCAACATTGGCTCTGCTGACCACATCTTCTCCTCTCTTGTAAGAGTGTGTCTATGTGTGTGTGTGTGTGTTTGTGTGTGTGTATGACAGATAAACCACAGGTAGCTTTTATTACAATTCTGGTTTGTGTTTTCAAACAACTCAAAGGATAATCACTGCTGTTAATTCATTGAACCTCTGAACACTGCACCAAATAGCAATCCTCTTGGCGAATGTCTTTACTTCCTGGTTAGAGGTAGTCATTACAGTTGGCCCTGGATTTGGGCTTGACTCTGTCCCTGTCTTACTGTATGGCCTTGGAACTCTTCCTTTCTTGGAACTCTTGTCTCCTTTCCTGGCCTAGGCTAAATGATCTTTGAGGGGTCTTTGAATCGACCTAAGTGAAATGGCTCTTGGAGAACAGGGAGTTGTTCTTTTTTTTTTGAGTTGGAGTCTCACTCTGTAGCCCAGACTAGAGTGCAGTGGCCGCTCCCGGCCACCGCAGCCTCAAACTGCTGGGCTCCGGCGATCCTTCCGCCTCAGCCTTCCAAGTAACCGGAATTACAGGCACACGCTACCATGCCCAGCTAATTTTTTTTTTTTAATTTATTGTAGAAATGAGGTCTCACCAAGTTGCCCAGGCGGGTCTCGAACCCGCGGGCTCAGGCAATCCACTCACCTCCGCCTCCCAAGGCGCGGGATTACAGGCTGAGCCACAGAGCCCGACTGGGAGTTGTTCTTGAATCCAAAGATTTCCTACTGGATTTGAGTCTGAGATGGACAGCCAATTCAGTATCTCGCTCTTTCTCTCCCCTTCCGACAGGACAACCCTTTCCTGATGGAGCACAAATACCCCACGCTCCCTGGGAAGCTTTCAGGAACCACACCCAATGGAGAGGCTGCCAAATCCACTCCCATCTCCTGTCAGCCTGAAGCCACAGGGAGCAGCTTGCAGAGGCTGAGTGAGTGTCCAACCCTGGGTGGGTGGCCTCTGAGCAGTGTCCTTAGCACTTGCAATGATTGTTTGAGATCCCTGCCCCTACCGCCACAGTCCACAGTCGGAAAACAGTAGAGATAGATGGCTATACTTTGGGGTGGTCCCACCTCTAAAGGGCAAGTGGTTTCCTAAGCCCAACACTTCACAGTCCCAGTAAAGACGGGTGTGTGCCCCCTACTTCTTTCCAGCTGCAGTTACCCCACTCTCATTTTCCCTTTTCTCTCTTCCTTTCTTGAACTCTTTCCTGTTCTTCCCAGTTTTCCTCTTTCCTTCCCTCTTAGACATCCCCTTTCACCCTTCTTGTCTCTCCCTCTTCCTTCCTCTGTCATTCTGATCTTCTCTCTCCTGCCTCTGCCTTCTTCTCTGCAGCCTCCCTATTTCCAGTAGGAGAATAATATATTCTCCAGGTAAGAGCATTTCCTTAGACAAATGGAGTCAATGTCCAGTGGACAAGGATGTCAGTCTACAGATATTCTTTTGGTGGTGAAGATCCAAAACCCCAGAGACCTTATGCTGCTTTTCATTCAAAATGGGCCATCTTTTCCCACCAGAAGCCAGGAGGTTCAAAGTGTCCCAGGAGGGAATATTCTGGTCCTGGCAGAGTCTTCCTACCCCTGACTCCTGAGTCCTAGCTGTCCCCTGATCCAGGTCATATGTTGACTTTATGAAAGCCAGTTCTACCCTTGGCTGCAGGACCTTCAAATTAGTGTGTCCTTAGTGACACTCAGACTGGACTCCATAAGTTTTGGGTCATTCTGGTCTGAGCTAAGTGAGCCCCGGCACCTGTACAAGAGCTGCATATGGCCCAGTGTCTTCAGCCCCTACTGTTCTCCCTCCCTGGAGACCTCCTCTCAGTCATAGTCACCACTCACCCAGTCCTTCTTCATGGGATTATTTTTTTCTTTCTGTTTGAGTTTTTCTCTCTTGCTTGATGACACTTTTGTTTATTTCTTTGCTTCCCCATAACTCTGTTGGGCTGGACTTTGGCCTCTCTTGTTTCTTCATGTGGCTTCTCTGCTTCTTGGTTGGCTGGAGACCGTGGCCGGAGTGCCAGTGCCCCCGTATTAGGTACTGTACCCATTCCAGGTGAGGTGAAGAGTGAGAATGCCTTTGTTTCCCTACCCTGATGCCTCCCCTTCCCAAAAACTCAGCCAAGGTCCCAATCCTGCCTGTGTTCCCACATCTCCCTCTGAGAAATGAGAACAAGCTCCTTGTTGGAGTCATCTACAAGTATTTGAACACCCAATCCTCAGAACTTGAAGACATTAGTTCACCCAGATTTGAAGCATTGAGCTCACTGATTTCTCAGGGAGAAAGTTTAGAGTGTGCCTGAGTCCCTATTGGGCTCTGGAATTTTGGTATGGACTTCTGTCCTGAAGGCAGAGCTGGGCAAATACTCTGGACTCCAACTGAAGGATGGCCCGGGCTTGGGGGAGAAGGGTTCCAAATGTCATGTCCTTGCTCTCATTTATATATCATTTCACTCTTCCAACCTCAGGAGATACAGAAAGCGGTTGGGACAACACTACCATGACCAATGACCTCTCATCCACTTCGGGTACTGAATCAAGTCCCCAGTCTCCTCTGACACCAGATGGTAAACGAAGTCCCAAAGGCATTAAGAAATTCTGGGGAAAGTAAGTTGGTGCTGATGATTGTAATTGTATTGCTTGGAATTAATTTTCTTCTTGACTGGGCAAAGAGTCTACACAGCCTCTGGTCTATCAGACATTGAAACAATAGTAAAAACAGAGCTTCTAATGAAAGACATTCGTTAAATACAGTCAGCTGCCTTAAGTGTCATTCATTCTAGGCACACCTTGAACAGTCTCTGCAACTTGCACTTCATGGGCTTTGGGAGAAATATGGTTGAGAATAGATTCTTCCTTCTTAGGAGTCAGTCTGTGTCTTAAGAAATTTTTTGAAAAGTCTTTAAAAGCAGAGTACTTGCTGACCCAGTTGAGCCAGAAACTGGGGCCTCCTACCAGGCATCAAATTTCACTTTGACCTCCATGATGTGTGACCCAAATGCCAGAGGCAGGATTAGAATTCAGGCTTGAGTCTGGCTGAGGATCTGTCACAGGTTGTGATCCTTGATCTCCAGGGAAGTATGGGGAAGCAATACTGACCATAGTCCCAGGTCTGGTCTCCACGGCCTTGCAAAGGAGGGAATACATTGACTCCTGGCTTTCAGGCTATCCCCTGACTTTATCTATGGATTCTTCTCCACACAGAATTCGGAGAACTCAGTCAGGAAATTTCAACACTGACGTACCAGGGGTGGCGGAGTTTCGACGAGGTGGGCTCCGTGCAACTGCAGGGCCAAGACTCTCTAGGACCAGAGACTCCAAGGGACAGAAAAGGTAAGTCTCCCTCCGATCTTTTCACAAAGAGCTGTGTGAAATCCTGGCCAGGATGGCATGGGGAAGGCGTGCTGGCTGTCCCAGAGCCTCCAAAGATGGACGGCAGGAGTTCTCAGTGCTGAGCTCCTAAACTTGCCCGTATAACACGTGTACATGGTGCTCGTGCTTACAGGTACCCTGAGATAAGGACGAAGTCCTATAGCTGGAGCTGGCTGGGTTGGGAGGTGGGCCTTTGGGCCTCCCTGGGTGCCTCAACAGCTTTACACGCTTATGTAACCCATTCTCAGCAGTGCTTTTGCACACTGGATTGAGAAACCCTGGTATAGCCATTAAGAGCACAGATTCTAGAATCCTAAACCTGGATAGGAATCTCTGCTTAACTTCTTCCTAGCTGTGAGCCCTAAGCCAAGTTATACAACCCTCTATGCTTCCATTTCCTCATTTGCAAAGTGGAAGTCAAAAGCAAGTAAAGGTTTTATGACAATTACATGAGCTACTGCCTTGCTATCTGCCATTCAAGGGTCAATATCCTCTAGTATATCTGAGAAAGCCTCGTCTCTTACCTGCCTCTGGGTCAGCCCTTTCCCTCCACACAGAACATACAGAAGGATGTGGTACCGCCCACATCTGCCATTATCCCTCATAATCCCACTGTACCACACTTCCTGTAAGACGTTAACCAAAGGGTTGGCACTGGAATAAAAATGGGAAGTTTCACATGACTGTTCCCATCACACACTAATAGAAAAGCATAGAAAATGTTAAACTTTGGCTGGGCACAGTGGCTCACGCCTATAATCCCAGCACTTTGGGAGGCCAAGGTGAGAGGATTGCCTGAGCCCACGGGTTCAAGACCAACCTAGGCAACTTGGTGAGACTTCATTTGTACAATAAATGAAAAAATTAGTCAGGCATGGTAGTGCATGCCTGTAGTTCCAGCTACTTGGAAAGGCTGAGGCAGAAAGATCACCTGAACTGAGCCGGTCGAGGCTGCAGTGGCTGTGAGTGTGCCACTGCATTCCAGCCTGGGCATCAGAGTGAGACTTCAACTCAAAAAAAAAAAGAAAAGAAAAGAAAAGAAAATGTTAAACTTCTCCAGAGGTATCCCTGGTAAACACCCTCCGGTTACTAACTCTACCCTTCTTTCTTTTGACCTCCCTGCTCTGAGAGTGTTCCTTCAAGTCTTACTCCTTGTTTTGGGGAAACCCCTTTCCATTTTCTCTCCCCATCAGGCAGTCCCTCTATTACATTTTCTCCAGCAGAATATTTCCTAAAGTCTCAGTTATTCAGCCATGAGCAGTATTTGTGGGGGCCTTCCACAGGACTGGATTGTGGCATTCTAAATCTAACCAAAATGTGAAAAGTAGTTTAACTCTCATAAGTTTGATTCCCTCAAGATTGCCATATACTAGTGCAAAATGCAGGTGATTACTGGATAAGATGGGCACATCTCAAATATTATTTCTCAAAAATAACATAGTCTGGATTCCAATTAAGGATGAAGAGCCTTTCCCTGAATGCATCGTATTCTTTACAGACCTGCATTCCTTGTGGAAGGGAGCCTTAGCTTATTTTGCACATGGATATGGTACTCCCCTTCCCTGGCTTGCCAACCTCAGGCTTCTAGGCTTTTTTCAGTCCTCTGGGTTTATGAGACACAGGACCTTTCCAGATTCATTTACGCTTTGATGGGTATCTCCAGACCTGTATTACACACCAGATGCCTTGAAATGAAATGTGAGAGCATGTAGACCATTAGCTTTCAGAGGCTAGACAAGCTAAGGATGAGGTCCAAGAAGTCAGAGACCAATGCAGAGCCATGAGAAAGTGAGCTGAAGAAAACTCACCTGTGTATTCCATAATTAGGTATCACTGGTTTACTTAGCACTTTTTTCAATGTAGATGTTGCTTGTTTTTTCTGATTTTTCTGAATTGAAAAAAGAAAACTATAGTAAGCTTAGATGATTCATCTTTGTTCTAATTCTGGCTATTTCTTTAAAGATTGATTCTAGAAGGGGAATCATTGGCTCAGGGTATAAAAACTTTTTTAAGATCCTTAGGCGTTGGCTCTAGATTAGGACTGCTTGGTTAGGGAGCCATTTGCATTTTACCAGTCACTTTAGGGTATGAGGCAACCAGAGTTTGGAACTTTTGCCAACAAGAAGACCTGCAGTTCCAGCCACTAGGCTGTTTTGTTTGAATGCCTTTGTGCTTTGTTAACCCGAATAATGGATGATAAAGGGAGTTAGAATGAAGAGATTCTGATGAGATTGTTATACTTATCATAACTAGCTGTGGTAACAAAATGAATTTGCAATGGAAAAGAAAGACCTGCATTACTAAGTAGAAATTTGATACAATTGTACGCTAATATCCTCTGGTATTAAAAGTTTATAGATATTTAGATATAGCCTTTAAAAAGCATTATTATAAGCCGGGCTCGGTGGCTCAGCCTGTAATCCCGCACCTTTGGGAGGCTGAGGTGAGTGGATTGCCTGAGCCTGCGGGTTTGAGATCCGCCTGGGCAGCGAGACCGCATCTCTACAAAAAACCAAAAAATCAGCTGGGTGTGGTAGCGCGCACCTGTAGTTCCAGCTACTTGGAAGGCTGAGGCGGAAGGATTGCCGGAGCCCAGCAGGTCGAGGCTGCGGTGGCTGGGAGCGGCCACTGCACTCCAGTCTGGGCGACAGAGTGAGACTCCAACTCAAAAAAAAAAGCATTATCATTAATATTCTTGGAGGAAAAGTGTTTTGTTACAGAAAGCCTCCAGGCTTTATTCCAATGAAACAATTGCTTTTTAAAATATAATATTTGATAGTAATATTTTACAGAAACTCTCTGTGATTCTGGAAATACAAATTTTATTGTCTTTTTCCTCCCTGGCCAAGGTTTTGCTGATTTACATTCCAGTCAGTACTGCTTATCTTTGTCAGCTTTAATTTTTTAAATTTTTCTTTGCTTGACTTTCTCTACTTTTACAGACCTCCAAAAAATTACACTTTTACTGGGTAATTTAATTTTCATGTTTGTCAGTTTAACTCTTTTTGTCTGCATTTTTGTCCATTATTACTTAATTAAAACATCTTTCTTATAGATTTCTGTCTGTTCTCTCTATATTAAAATATTAAGTCATGTCTAATCATTGTGATGAAATATTTTTAGATTTGTGGTGGAATTTAACTTTTGTGATACTTTGATACGTGGAATTTTTATATTTATATATAATAAATACATCTATATAATGAGGTTCATCAACTTTTCCTTTATGATTTTTTTCATTACTTTGTTTTAAATTTTCTTCCATGATTTTTAAAAACTGTATTTGAATTATCTGTTTGGGAATATATTTTAGTATGTGAGCTTATTAGAAGTTATTTTTTGTCTGCTTATTTCTAAGAGAAAACAGTAAAGTATAATGTTCAAGGCAAACAGTTTCCAGAGACACACAACTGGATCCCATCTTTCTGGAGGGTTTCTTTCTGAGTTGGTCTACTGAGTGTGTTGTCCTTCAACTCTGGTTTTATGACGGGTCTCCAATTAGACTACTTCCCTGCTTTGGGCCCCCATTTTATTGTCTTTTCCCCATATTCATGGTTGGTCAGATTTATCATAAATGGAAAGAAGCTTAAGCTTCAAGGGTCCTCACTTGTATGGGCCCCTTCCAGGGTCCATAGAGGATCATTCACTGTAATGACAGGGCCAGGTGTCTTGAAAATCTGCATAAGTAAGGTGTTTTAAACAATACCATGTTTGTTTTGTTTTGTTTTTTAAGTTGGAGTCTCACTCCATCGCCCAGGCTGGAATGCAGTGGCACACTCATAGCCACCACAGCATCAGTCTGCTGGGCTCTGGCGATCCTTCCACCTCAGCCTTCCAAGTAGCCAGAACTACAGGCATGCTACCATGCCTGGCCATTTTTTTTTTTATTGTAGAGATGAGATAACACCAAGTTTCCCAGGCTGGTCTCGAACCCATGGACTCAGGCAGTCCACCCCCCTCGGCCTCCCAAAGAGCTGGGATTACAGGCTGAGCCATCGAGCCTGACCTAACAATGCCATTTTTAAGACTCTGACTCTTTACTCCAACTTTCCCTTGGTCTACACTGTCCCCTATATCAGATGATGTTGGAGTAACCAGAGGGATTTTTTGGGACTGGCTAAGGGGACACTGAGTTGGGGATCCATATAATTTGAATTTAGTGGGATATATATATATGTGTGGCTTGCAGCCATGTCATGTTTGGTTTAGTTAACTAGCTTTCCTAGTGTACAAATGACTTCCAGGATTATTTCTGCTTACTGTGCTAATTTACCCAACACTCTGTAGTCACTAATGAAGTGTTTATAATTATAAATGTGCCATGTGCTCTCCGCCTACCATGGGAATGGCACATTTGATAAATCTTCATTACATCATCTTCACTGCAGTTTGAAAGGATGTTTTGGAATTGGTCCAAAAAAAATAAAAATGTTTTGGTTGTGTTTGAAAGGGAGCTTCTCTATGATTTCTAAATTATATCCTAGCATGTTCAGCCATGTCACTAGCTGAGAGTATGGAAGACCCTTGAACTGAGAGAAGCTGTGAAGAGGTGCAGAAGCTGGGTCTGATACTGTAGGAACAGCACAGTAGAATGGAAAGACTGCTAAAGATGGGGACGAGAGCTCCAGGTTGTTTTGAAAAGGTCTATAGGATAGAGGTTTTCATATGATCACAAAAACACTTTTTTCTGCTTCAGAGCTTAAATGTCACTCTGATCTATAGAATGCTTGTCTTTTCCAATTTCCAGAAATAAGAAAATGAATAAAATAAAAACCAAGTAGAAGATAAAAGTTATAAAATGAGCATTGAATCGAGACAAGTTACTTTTCACATTAAGGAACAATTTATAAACAAAAAAAATTCCAGATCATACCAAAAGCAGTAATTCGCTAAGAGCAAGAAATAATCTTTAAACAGAAGTAGTAAATATGTTCCCACATAGTTGTTCATATAAAGTGAGTCATATGAATGCATTAGAAAATATTGAAATTTCTTGCTGATTTTACATGATATACTGACATTGACAGAGATAACATAAAACTCAGGCTATTGGCTGGGCTCGGTGGCTCAGCTATAATCCCAGCACTTTGGGAGGCCAAGGCGAGTGGATTGCCTGAGCCCACGAGTTCGAGACCAGCCCGGGCAACTTGGCGAGACGTCGTCTCTAAATCAAAAAATAGCCAGGCGTGGTAGCATGCGTCTGTAGTTCCGGCTACTTGGAAGGCTGGGGTGGAAGGATTGCCAGAGCCCAGCAGGTTGACTCTGGGCTCGCTGTGAGTGTGCCACTGCACTCCAGCCTGGGCAACAGAGCGAGACTCCAACTCAAAAAAAAAAAAAAAAAAAAAACTCACGCTACTGCCACAAAGACACAGAAGACACAATGGTTCATGAATATTATCAATTCAAAGAATGTTAGACCAGGCGCGGTGACTCAACCTGTAATCCCAGCACTTTGGGAGGCTAAGGCGAGGGGATTGTTTGAACCCAGGGGTTCGAGACCCACCCGGGCAACTTGAGGAGACCTTGTCCTCTACAATAAATAAAAAATTAGCCGGGTGTAGTAGCGCCCACCTGTAGTTCTGGCTTCTTGGAAGGCTGAGGCGGAAGGATTGCCTGAGCCCAGCAGGTTGACACTGGGGTGCCTATGAGCATGCCACTGCACTCCAGCCTGGGCAACAGAGTCAGACTGCAACTCAAAAAAAAAAAAAGAAAGTTTAAGATTAGTCACTTAGTCACAGCATTAGAAAACTTGAATGCTATGTAGTTTTACCACTCACGTATAAAGAACACTTGCTAGAGGTTTTCCTAAATTTAAATTAAATGATCCTAAAAATGCACATGACAATACCAATTATAAATTGTGAAACCAAAACTTTTTTTGTTTTAAAATATTATCATAAAAATATATATTGGCCAGGCATGGTGGCTCACACATGTAATCCTAGCACTCTGGGAGGCTGAGGCAGGAGGACTGCTTGAGCCCAGGAGTTCGAGACCAGCCTGGGTAAAATAGCAAGACTTCCTCGTTTCTACAGAAAATAAAAATAAAAAAAAAATTAGTCCACTATGGTGCCTGTAATCCCATCTACTTGGGAGCCTGAGGAAGAAGGATCTCCTGAGCCCAGGAAGTCAAGACTGTGGTGAGCTATGATCATGCCCCTGCACTCTAGCCTGGCTGACAGAATGAGACCCCGACTCAAAAAAAAAAATAGGGAGGGAGAGAGAGAGAGAGAGAGAGATGGATAGACCAGTCATGCTAAAAAAAAGAATGATTTAGCCATCTGTTCTCTTAGAAAATATTAAGGAGTTGTAGACATATGAAGAAGCACTCAAAGATTATGCATTGAAAATATGAGGGTAAAAGAGTAATACAGAAGTATAAGTACTTTCTATCTAATAAAATGATTAATTTTTCTGGATTTTAGCCAGGCCCGGTGGCTTACGCCTGTAATTCCAGCACTTTGAGAATTGGAGGCAAGAGGATTGCCTGAGTCCAGGAGTTCGAGACTAGCCTGAGCAACTTGGCAAGAACTCATTCTACAATAAACTAAAAAAAAACATTAGCCAGGCGTGGTGGCACATGTCTGTGGTTCCAGCTACTTGGAAGGCTGGAGTGGAAGGATCACCTGGGCCCAGCAGGTCGAGGCTGTGGTGGTCATGAGGATGCCACCGTATGCTAACCTGGGTGACAGAGTGAGACTCCTACTCAAACAAACAAACAAAAATTTGTATTTTATGATGATTTTTCAGTTTTGCTAAATTTGTAATTTTTTTGTGATTTGTTTTCCCTTTCTAAACAAATAATCACTTTGCTTCTAACTCTATATTTAAATTTTATTCTTAAAGAAGACACCCAGATTTTGTGAGTTCCAGGCCTTATAAAACTTGGATTTTCACCAATTCAGGACCCATTAAAACCCAGGCTCCAGGCCATGCACAATCAGTTCCTACCCCAAGGTGTACATCATCTCTAGCATTTGTTCTAGAATAGTACTTTCTTATTATTTTGATCCTTTAAGGTATTCTCTTACTTTAAGAACAACTCAGCCAGGCATTCAAAAATATATTTATTTTAAAATTCTAATATGTTAGAGGTATTTTCCTGGAAGGAATCCAAATATCTAGTCTTTAATATCCTATAAATCGCTGAACACGGTGGCTCATGCCTGTAATCCCAGTACTTTGGAGGCGGAGACAAGAGGATCGCCTGAGCCCAGGGATTCAAGACCAGCCTGAGCAACTTGGTGAGAACTCGTCTCTACAATAAATAAAAAAATTAACCAGGTGTGGTAGCACACTCCTGTAGTTCCAGCTACTTGGAAGGCTGAGGCGGAAGGATCGCCTGAGCCCAGCAGGTCGAGGCTGTGGTAGCTGTGAACATGCCCACTGCACCCCAGCCTGAGTGACAGAGTGAGACTCTGACTCAAAAAAAAAAAAAAAAATTCCATAAATCCCCACTTATTTTTGAAAATGAATATAAAGTTGCTCTGTCAACACATACTCTCTCAAACCAAAAAGAAGACTCCAGTGGGATTTCGTAGCATGCTATTATATTCACACTATATTTATTTATTTATTTATTTATTTATTTATTTTTAATTTTTGAGTTGGAGTCTCACTCTGTCACCCAGACTGGAGAGCAGTGGCCGCTCCCGGCCACTGTAGCCTCTACCTGCTGGGCTCCGGCAATTCTTCCGCCTCAGCCTTCCAAGCAGCTGGAACTACAGGTGTGTGCTACCACATCCAGCTAATTTTTGACTTACTGTAGAGATGAGGTCTCACCAAGTTGCCCAGGTGGGTCCAAACCCGCAGGCTCAGGCAATCCACTCACCTCAGCCTCCCAAAGCACTGGGATCACAGGCTGAGCCACCGAGCCCGGCTTATATTCACACTTTAAATGAAAAATTGATGTCTTTAAGAATTAATGGCTTTATAAAACCCAGTCGACCTGTCTAGGAACATGATCCAGCTCTTCACTTATTGATGTCTTTTTTTATGTTGCTTAGTTGAGTGTTGTAGTCAACACCTTTCCCCACCTCCCACGCCCCACACATAGTCACACAGGGCCCACATGTCTCTTGTCAAGACAGTTCCTAAATGTTTTATCATTTTGGCTACTATGAATAGAATTTTTAAAATTTTTTTTAACTAAAGCATTAGTATCTGTGCATTGATAGTATGTAGAAAATTTTTTATTTTAGTATGTAATATACATATTACATGTGTATATATGTGTGTATTCATAGCCAGCCACCTTACTTCTCTTGAGTTTTCTAGGTGGGCAGTCTTGTCATCTGAAAAGAATGGCTTTCTTTTTTTTTTTTTGAGTCAGAGTCTCTCTCTGTCGCCCAGGTTGGCGTGCAGTGGCACCCTCATGGCCACCACAGGTGATTCTTCCACCTCAGCCTTCCAAGTAGCTGGAACTATAGGCATGTACTACCATGCCTGGCCATTTTTGATTTATTGTAGAGATGAGATCTCGCCAAACTGACCAGGTTGGTCTCGAACCCATGGACTCAGGCAATCCTCTTGCCTCAGCCTCCCAAAGTACTGGGATTATATACTTGAGTCACCGTGCCCAGCCAGAACAACTGTCTTTTATTTCTACCTTTCTAATGGCTCTACTCTTTGTTCTTTCTTTCTCTCTTCTTATACTGAGTACAACTCTCAGACTAGTATTATTAGTACTGAGTACTGATTTTAAAAACATATTTTCTTTTTATCAACTTTAATGTGAATGCCCCTCGTGTTTTATTCATAATAAATAAGGCATTAGTGGTTATTGATTGGAAGGTTTTTAGTTTGTTGTTATGGTTGTTTTTTTAATTTTAGAGAACTGACCTTCTTTTTCTAGTTTTCTAAGCATTTTTCTAAAAAAAGAGTACTGAACCTTATTGAAAAGATAATTTAGTTATGAATCTTCGTCCTAATGAGGTCTCAGCTCTGGTCTTGTGGCATGTATGCATGTGGACCTACCACTTGTAAACATGGTCTCAGGAGAATCATATAGTCTGCCCCAGGCTCTAAGTGACCTGAGATTTGAAATTCAGACTGTGTGTTACCAAGGAAACTCTAGGGTCTACCTCAAAAGAGCATTGCAGTGGAATTTTGTTCAATGAAATGCCATGATTACAGTTGTTTGTTTGAAAATTTTTCCTTTTGGGTGGCCAAGGCGAGTGGATTGCCTGAGCCCGTGGGTTCAAGACCAGGCCAGGCAACTTGGCAAGATCTTGTCTCTACAATAAATCTCCCTCAAAAAATTAGCCAGGCATGGTAGTGTGTGCCTGTAGTTCTGGCTACTTGGGAGGCTGAGGCAGAAGGATTGCCGGAGCCCAGCAGGTCAATGCTGGGGTGGCCGTGAGCATGCCACTGCCCTCCATCCTGAGTGACAGAGTGAGACTCCAACTCAAAAAAAAGAATTGTTCCTTTTTGTGAGATGTGATTCAATTCAGATCCTCAGGCTCTCCCACTAATAAGAACATGCTATTTTCTTGCAATCCAGTGACACCAACGCCCCCTTTGCCCAGTGGAGCACAGAGCGTGTGTGCACATGGCTAGAAGACTTTGGCCTGGCTCAGTATGTGATCTTTGCCAGGCAGTGGGTGTCTTCCGGCCACACATTACTGACAGCCACCCCTCAGGACATGGAAAAGGTAAGGAGGACTGAGTTTGGAGCTAAAAGGCTCCCATTTCTCCCCAAACCAATGCTTGGAGAAGTAAGCCTCCTACTCCAACCCTCCTACACACAGGATGGAAGGAGGAAGCAGAAAATCCCCTCTGTAGCTGCAGGTGCCATCCCAGGGCACTGTGCAGAGACCATTGCCACACCCTCAGAGCATCTCCATCTAGACCTTAGAGTATCCTCTGAGGACCAAACTGTCTGCCAGAATTTTACATCTGGTATTCATCTTTTAATTTCAGGAACTAGGAATTAAGCACCCTCTTCACAGGAAGAAGCTGATTTTAGCAGTGAAAGCCATCAATACCAAGCAGGAGGAGAAGTCTGCCCTGCTGGACCATATTTGGGTGACACGTAAGGACAGGCATATATGTAATAAGTACGCTTTTGGCAGTAACTAAGGGTAGAAAGAATTTCCCTGTTAAATGTGTGCTTCAAAGATAGATGTCTCCTTGTAAAAGACAGAGGAATTGCTAAACTTTTGGGAAATAAAACTGGAACCTCAAAATGATAACCTGTCCTCTTTTTTGGGTATCTGCCTTCTACCACTCTTATGAATTCTGATACATCTTTTTTTTCTGTGTTTGTAGGGTGGCTTGATGACATTGGCTTACCCCAGTACAAAGACCAGTTTCATGAATCCAGAGTTGATGGGCGAATGCTGCAGTACCTAACTGTGGTAAGGACTTTTCCTTTAAAGATTTCAGTTGTCCCTGGGAGCACTCAGCTCAGGTGTACCCATGGTGATTATTTTATACTTGTTTCCACCTCTGTTCTCATATTCTTAAGGCTTTGAAATAGTATCACTTGTCACAAAAGAGGTCCCAAGTAGCAAAGTACAAACCAATGTGGTAAGAAAAGTTGTCCATGTGCACCTTTCTGGGATGTAGTTAACTTGTCTGTGCTTGGTCTGAAAAGGGACCTCAGGGGTCTTTTGTCACCTTGGAAACTCTAGTTTCATCAACCAAAACTTTCCTCTTCCAGAATGATCTACTCTTTTTAAAAGTCACCAGCCAACTACATCATCTCAGCATCAAATGTGCCATTCACGTACTACATGTCAACAAGTTCAACCCCCACTGCCTGCACCGGCGGCCCGCGGATGAGGTGAGGGGAGGATAGTATCTTGCCAGTAGCCCTGGGCCAGAACACCTGAATCACGGAGCATGAGAAAACAAGAATGACATTGTCACACAATGGCTACCTTTCCAGTCTCAGTGCCTGAAAGGGGGCCTTTTCTTTGCTAGGGCTTCATGATACCCAAAACACCCTGATGCCTGTACTTTGTGTCTCATAACAGTCATAGACCTCCAAACTCCCACCTTCCTTTGGTAAGACACATGCTTTGGACCAGAGGGTAGTGGCAACAAGTCTTTCAAAGTCATCACAATAATTAAAAGAAATGAGAAGATGGGGCAGAGGAGAGTGGATGGAAGAGACAAAAAGGAAAAATGGGTGTCACAGTAGACAGAGAAGACAAGAGAAGAGCTAGAGGAGGAAGAGGAGCCCAAAAAGAACCAGAGATTTCACAACAGATTTTCCTACTTCTAGATACAAAATTAACTGACTTCCAGGCCCAGGTATGCAGGAGATTCATGAGCAGGTCTTACTAGAGTGGAAATAGTGTAGGTAGATAACAACACCCCATATCATGGTAAAATACTTGATAATGTTCCATGAACCTCAGAGTTTTCTTGGTGGGCCTGAAGCTGAAGGTTGTCAGTCACATCCTATTTCCTCTCTTCCTGGGAACTAAGTCTAACCCTGCTGAAAGATTAACTCAGCTTCCTGGAAGATTAAAAACACCTACCTTTGCTCTCCAGCTCCTATTTCCTCCCTATTCAACAAACATGTTTTGAATGCCTTGTATATGTCAGGCACAGCGCTGGGCATTTTGAAGACCATGATGCCACGTGAGGGCACTTAGGTATAAGTACCTTAATGTGTGCTCCCCTAGAAAGTTTAGCCACGCTAATGAGATCTTTTGTCTATAGAACACCTGGCTCCTAACTGACAGTCATCTTTAAAGTTCTGTTGAATCAGTGAATGAATAACTATATATTTCCTCATTTATTTGGCTTAAAATTAACTAGAAATTTGGGGAATAACAATATTCTGTATTCAGATATCTCAGTGCAGAAGATCCCACAAGATTCAGTGAGAGCTCTATTTCTTGGAAACTGGGGAGGCTCTCAGGTAGATGGTCACTAAGCTTTAGGGTCTTCTCTTCTGGTGAAGTGTCTGGGGCAGGGTTACTCACAGGGGACCATGGTGGGACCTATGAAACCTAACTTCTTTGCTTTCCTTCTCCCTCTCACAGAGTAACCTTTCTCCTTCAGAAGTTGTTCAATGGTCCAACCACAGAGTGATGGAGTGGCTGCGATCTGTGGACCTAGCAGAGTATGCACCTAACCTTCGAGGGAGTGGAGTCCATGGGGGTCTCATTGTGAGTGGCTCTTTGGATTAGCCCACCACCTTGGTATAAACTGGCGTATTCAGAAACTGATTTCTGACATAAATCCAGACATAAATTTTAGTAAAAAAAAAAAAAAGTAGATACTTTGGCCAGCTGTGGTATCTCAAGTCTGTAATCCCAGCACTTTGGGAGTCCAAGGTGAGAGGATTGCCTGAGTCCAGGGGTGCGAGACCAGCCTGGGCAACTTGTTGAGACCTCGTCTCTACAATAAATAAATTAAAAATTTAGCTGGGTGTGGTGGTGTGTGCCTGTAGTTCCAGCTACTTGGAAGACTGAGACAGAAGGATCGCCTGAGCCCAGCAGGTCAAGACTATGGTGGCTGTGAACATACTACTGTACTCCAGCCTGGGCAACAGAGTGAGACTCCAACTCAAAAAAAACAAAAACAAAAACAAACCTACATCTGAAACCCTTGAATAATTGAAGTCTCAAAGAAAGTATTTTGAGAATTTGTGATTGGGAATTAAGATACCTCATGGAAACAGCAACAGACCCAGAGGATTCCAGGTCAATGGGATTGCATGAGGGCCAGCACTTACCAAGACAGCTCCACCTGCTCCCAAAGGTTGGGGAAGTGAGGGGGAGGGCATCAAAATGCAACTTCCTGCTTGCTGTGATATGATCCTTATCGCTACTCAGATCTGTCAGGTGGCAAAGCCAGAGGGGAAATGAGGAAGGGGTGGCTTAGATGTCATCCAGAGAAGACCTGAGGGACAGCCTCATCCAAGAGGTCCCAGTTCTCTGCTGGTCTGTGAAATGTGTTAGTGTCTGCTCAAAGCCAGGCCCTGTGCTGGCAACAGAGAGAGGAGTGTGTTACAGACCAGATAATGAGCTCCCACCCCTGCTCCAGAGGTGCCCCAAGGCCCAACTGGCTGATCTCTCAGTATCCTGCCCCGGATCCATTTTGGTCACTCCTGGCTAGGTTTGTCTATGGTTTTTTCTTAGATCCTGGAACCACGCTTCACTGGGGACACCCTGGCCATGCTTCTCAATATCCCCCCACAAAAGACGCTCCTCAGACGCCACCTGACCACCAAATTCAATGCCCTGATTGGTCCTGAGGCTGAACAGGAAAAGCGAGAGAAAATGACCTCTCCAGCTTACACACCACTGACCACCACTGCCAAAGTCCGGGTGAGTTGTCAGACCCTTTCTGGGTGGGCCACAGGGGCCTGCCTCCCAGCCCTCATATAGTACAGCGGATGGCTCAATGCCTGCAGCAAATCAGAGTGTGCAGCCTGGACAAGGAGGCTCATTTAGCTTCCACCATAGTCCTGTTGTCTGTCAGTCTTAGGCCAATTCTCTGACACTCTGGAGTGCAAGGAAAAGAGTGCGGGTTTCTGGCCAGGCGTAGTGGCTCACACCTATAATCCCAGCACTTTGGGAGGCCAAGGTGAGAAGATTGCCTAAGTCCACAGATTTGAGGCCAACCTAGGCAACTTGGTGAGACCTCATCTCTACAATAAATAAAAGAATTAGCCAGGCATGGTAGTGCATACCTGTAATTCCAGCTACTTGGAAGGTTGAGGTGGACGGATCACCTGAACCCAGCAGATCGAGGCTGCAGTGACTGTGAGTGTGCCCCTGCACTCCAGCCAGTATGACAGCGTGAGACTCCAACTCAAAAAAAAAAGAGTACAGGTTTCTTTTCACAGAAACTTTGTGCTGGAAGGAGACTGTCCTATATCCCAGTGCTGCTATGACTCATCTTGTAAAGCAAATGAGCTCCAAATCTTAGTTCCCCTCAGGCAGGCCCATCTGCGTGCCATGGGGTCTTGGCCAGAGCTGCCATGCCAACACAGGAAGTGCTGCTGTTCGCAGGTTTGTCTCATTCTGTTTGGTGGCCAGCACACAGCTGTTCAGAGGTCCCAAAGTTGTCCAAGCACCAGTACTACTCACTGGAGCTCCCAAAACCCCCCAAAGCCCATTAGACCTGCCTGAGCCATGCCTTCCTCAAACTACACCCTTCCCAGACCACAGGCCCATAGTCTCTAGAGGCCAGGCTGTCCTGTCCCCAGCAGTGTTGATGCCTTGGGTCCAGCTACAACTCACACACAGACCTCCTTCCACAAAGGAGTAGGACAGGAAGTGTGTCTGGGGGAGTCAGGCAGAAACAGTGCTGGGTGGGTAAACCTAGAACAAGGAGGAGCCGGGCTCCTTGTAATCCCGCGCCTTGGGAGGCTGAGGTGAGTGGATTGCCTGAGCCCCCGGGTTCGAGACCCACCTGGACAACTTGGCAAGACCTCATCTCTGCAATAAATCAAAAATTAGCCAGGTGTGGTAGCACGCGCCTGTAGTTCCAGCTACTTGGAAGGCTGAGGCGGGAGGATTGCTGGAGCCCAGCAGGTCGAGGCTGCAGTGGCCGGGAGCAGCCACTGCACTCCAGTCTGGGCGACAGAGTGAGACTCCAACTCAAAAAAAAAAAAAAAAATAGAACAAGGAGGAACATAGGGCTGTTCAAAGTGCTTTTTGAGGACGCTGGGTGCCAAGAGAGGAAGGGGATGCTCCCCCAGGTGGGGCCAGCAGCTGTGGTGCAGCAAGTTAATTCTCTCAGCATGGCCTCAAGTGCAGCCCGTGACATTCTGTAGGAACTCTCAGTCCATCTGTGGAAATAGAAAGTCACTGGTGAGGCAGTCAGGCATGAGTTTCAGGCACAGAGTCTTGCAGAAGCAGCTTGAATGTTCAAGATTATCTGTTGTCCTTTCCCCAGCAGAAAGTTGCTTATAGGAGCTCTGTTTTGTTCAGAGTTTTCTAAAAGCAGTTTGCCTAGTTATTTTTCTCCTGGGCATGTTCTTAAATGTATTGTCAGTCATATATGCACATTGGCTTTATAATCCCCTTCTCATAATCTTATATTTGCTGTGTTTTAGCCAAGGAAACTAGGATTTTCACACTTTGGAAACATGAGAAAAAAGAAGTTCGATGAATCGACAGACTACATTTGCCCGATGGAACCCAGTGACAGTGTTGGTGACAGTCACAGGGTCTACAGTGGCTACCGGGGCCTCAGCCCCCTTGATGCCCCTGAACTGGATGGGCTGGACCAGGTGGGACAGATTAGCTGATGCTCTTGTCACCTGCCTTCTCTGTACACCCTGAGAGTTCACAGTAACACCATGTGTGTCACCGCATAACTGCACCTCACCCCCTGCACGTGTGCATGACTCGCAGAGAACATTCCAGCAATTGTGTGCCCCTGGGCCAGTCTCTCTTGGAATGCTGAGGGTGGCCAGGATATGGAGTTGCACCTTTGCCGAGAGGCCAAACTCTGGGGAGTATTGCCAAAGGTGGATGCAGGAGGAAAGACACTTTTACATTTTTAGTAATTCTTGATAACCATCTTCAGCACCAGTGAAAACACATGAACTTGGGCACAGGTCCAGAGACCATGGACACTCCCACAAAGCTCAGCTCTCAGGCACCTTCCTGTGCTTCAGATGCGGAAAAAGCTTAAGTGCCTTAAGCCTGTGGGCTACAGTCTCAGCTGAGATCAAAGGGGCGAGCAGCAGGGACATCTGCCATAATGACAATGGAATTGTGTTGTGCCTTACTACAGAGGTGGTCGCTTCTTTCTAGTAATAAAAGCAATATTTATGTAGAAAGCAAACAGTGCAACAGATCAATCTTGCTAGGGGAAGAAAGCTGGGCCTAGCTGGAGATGGAGTCTTACTGGTTGCGCAGCTAAGGAATCGATGGCACTGAGCCTGTTCTCAGCCAGGGGCACATGAAGGATTTGCCAAGTGGGGTGGAACAAGGAGTGACCCCTCCCCCTACATCCTTCAAAGGAGGTCTGTGGCCTCCCTGCTCCAGGCTGCAGCTCCCTCTGTGAAGCAGAGGGGGACTTTGCCTTTCTTGCACATTCTGACTGTAGGTCACATCTGTTTTGCAGATCCCAAAGTTGGTTCCCATTTCAGTGGCACAAGTCCCCTAGTGAAGGGGGTGGTGGGGAGACAAGAAGGACAGCCTTGCTGGAAAGACTCTCTGTCCTTTCCTGTTTTGCCAGTTTCTCTGTTACTGACTTAGCCAGGCTCATAACCATGGCGAGGGTTGGTCTCTCTGTGCTGGCAGAGCTGGAAGAGATCTGTCTTCTTGATTTAGAGCTGACTCATTGATAATGGGTCCTCCAGATGGGCCTTGTCTGGCCGGGGACTGAGGGAGAGACGTGACTTGCCAGTCTGGGCTCTTGCTTATGAGATTCCAGTTCACCCCCGGGCAGCGTTTGGCTCCACTGAGTCCCCTGGACCTCATCCACAGAAGAATAACAGCCACGTCATAACTGTCTGACGGCCAGGGCAGGGCCTGATGACCCCATTGTGGCACTCTGATTCTGTTCTAAATGGAGGCAATGCTAAGATTTGCTTCTGAAGCTACCAACAGCCTCAGACATGGCCTGTTGCCATAGGCTTCTACCTCCCCTGGGGTGAGAGATGTGGGCACAAGCTTGCCAGCTGGCAGCTCTAGTGTTTGATCCTGGTGCCCAGGTCAACTGGATGACAGGTGCTCATTCAGGCTGACAGCAGCCATTGCATCTGCAAAGCCAGCCAGGGCACACTTTGCCCCTTTTTTCTCATCATGTCCTGGTGAGAGAATCTCTGCATGTGCCTATTTTCAAAACCTGCATGGAGTTGTTTTGCCACTAATTGTGCAGCCTCAAGCAAGTTCCGTTCCTTTTGTGCGCTGTAATTTTCTCACCTGTAAAACAAACAATTACACTTGATGCCCTTACAGAAGATGCTTCCAAATCTACAGCATCTAAATAGGTGTGGGGAAAAAGGAGCAGGGGGAGAGTTGGGAGGGAGGGTCCTGAGTAGTGAGGAAAGGATGCCCACCTATACCAGGGCATTAGTGTCTGGGCGTCTGTTGGTGTCTGGGAATTGTGAGTCCATTCAGCATCCTGAAGGCCTTCACTCCTGCTGTTCTCTCCTCCTGGAAATAGCTGAAACACTGAGCACGTGCAGAAGGGCTGCTTCTGACAGACCCTGCCTGCACCCTGAGTGCCAATGCCAGATGAAGCCCCAGGAGAGGTCTGCATGCAGTGTGGGATGTTGACACCTTTTCCTCAAATCAGAAGCAGCGTGTGCTCCACCCACCTGTCACTCCTCATGGCCTAGCGCACTCCTTGCCCATCCCTCCAGGGAAGCATGCCCCTGAGAAGCCAGGCCCAAGCAGGACAGGACCAGCATGCCACCAACTCTGCAGGTCATGAGCTGCATCCTTGTGTACTGACCAGGCTGCTGCCCATTTTACAGATGGCACCTTCGGAAGGCACCGTGACGCAGATAGGGCTCCTCTCCCAAGACATTCACCGCCTTACGGTAGGACTCTGACCCTTTCCCCACAGTTAGACTGGTGCCCAGGAGGCCCAATGAGTTTGATGTGGGTGGTACAGAAGGCCCCAGGGGAGCAAAAAATGGTTCTGGGTACTGGGGTCAGAGCCTGAGCCTGAGCCAGCCCTAAAGCAGCTTTCTCCATTGGCCTGTTGCTGGACTCTGAGCCCCTGAGGGCATCGGGGAGGCTCATGGGCCTTTAGCTGAAGCCAGCTAAAGCATGCTGGGCCTCAGGTCTTCTTCCCAGTCTCCGAACTGGTAAGGAAATCAAGATACTTAGCAGCTCTGGACCACCTTCCTCATCAGCCCAAAGCCCAGACCACAGCTCTGGCCTAGTGGACACTACTCTGTACTCAACCCATGAGACACAGGCATTTCCTATCATGCATCTGACTTCATGGATAACCACAGGCATGCGAGTGCATCTTGGCATGCCCAAGAGGACAAACCATATCATGGAGTGGCAGCTTGGTCTCAGGGGAAGAGGAGCAGCTTTGGAGCGAGGCTCAAGTCCCTTCTGTGTCTTTACTAACTCTGGGACTTTGGGCATGTCATGTCATTTTCTCTCTAAGCCTTGGCTTAGTTATCTACAGAGCAGGGCTAAGAACCTCCTCGCCAGGCTTCTAGGCAGACTAGGGCTGGCAGTAAAAGGCCAGACACAGAGCACAGATTTGTTTTTGAGATCCTGTAACTTCAGGGCCCTTTAGTACTGAGCTGTAGCATCTGTCCACATTGGAGCCCCTGCTCTACACTTTCTTTGCTGATCTACCAAGGCACATTTAGAAGATAGGACAATGATGGGAAAGTCTCCCTGGTTCCAAGGACAAGACAGAAAAGTCTTCCTAAATCCAAGCAGGATCATTTGTAGTCAACGTTTTTATTTCTTAGCTCACACACTGAAAGGAATCTCTCCGTCCTTGTCCTTAAGATCTCCAGTAGGGGCTGGGCGCAGTGGTTCAAGCCTGTAATCCCAGCACTTTGAGAAGCCGAGGTGAGAGGATTGCTTAAGCCCGGAGGTTTGAGACCAGCCTGAGCAACTTAGCGAGACCTCATCTCTACAATAAATCAAAAAATTAGATGGGCTTGGTAGCACACATCTGTAGTGCTGGCTCCTTGGAAGGCTGAGACAGAAGGATCGCCTGAGCCCAGCAGGTCGAGGTTGTGGGGGCCATGAGTGTGCCACTGCACTCCAGCTTGGGCAACAGAGTGAGATTCAAAAAAAACCCACAAAACTCAAATAGGCCTTTGGTGGCCTTGAAATAGCAAGTGCACCTCTAAGCAAGCAATTTTATCTTAATAGTATTGTTTATTCTGACCCAGCACTCAGAGTTCCTGGAATACCATAAATTTATGGGGCACTGGGTCAAATGTAGACCATATCCAGTGCCCCTTTGCTTCCCATGTAGCTGCCGCAGGGCAGCCTTGGCCAAAACCCTGTTAAACTGCCCCTTCGGCTGTCCTTTCAGACAATGCTGAGCCAGGACCAGCTGCTGAATGACTCGCGCCTGGCTGCTCCCGACTCTGATGACTGGAGATGACTTTCTGCATGGCTGAGAGTCCCAAGAGGCACGTGTGGGGGCCCAGAGCCTTTGCTTCAGTGGGGAGCTGGCACATAGCCATCTGCAGAGCCTGATCAGGGCTGGCAAGTCATCTTGGACAGGGTGCCAATGGCAGCTAAGCACAGCTGTGGGGTAGATGTCCAGGAGGTGGCCCCAGTGTCCCTGTGTTTTCAACCATGCTACCCTCTTCACTATAGCTTTTATACTTTTTGTACTTTTATACATGGACTGCAGTGTGAAGAGGGCAATGACCCAGTGGCTCATGCTATTCCTGGTGATGTCCTGGAAGGGAAGAGCTATTGTTTTTCCTCTGCTGGAAAAAAAAAATTCGGAAAAATTTTCTGGTCCCGGCATAGTGGCTCAAGCCTGCAATCTCAGCACTTTGGGAGACTGAGGCGAGAGGATTGCCTGAGCCCCAGGGGTTCGAGACCAGCCTGGGCAACATGGGGGGACCTCATCTCTACAATAAATAAAAAAATTAGCGGGCATGGTAGCACGTGCCTGTAGTTCCAGCTAATTGGAAGACTGAGGTGGAAGGATTGCCTGAGTCCAGCAGGATGAGGCTGTGGTGGCTGTGGGTGACAGAATGAGACTCTGACTCAAAAAAAAAAGAAAGAATTTTCTGAATGTTCTAAGAGTTTTCTGAATGTTCTGTATAGTGACTGAGTTGGGTGAAATGCTAATTAGGGCATTCCCTCTGTGGCTGCTTGTAGGGACACATATCTCCACTCCCAGGGACCTGCAGGTTAAAAGTGCTGAGGATGTCATCGGGGAAAAAACAATGAGACTCCTTCCCTCAGTCCTGCCTACCCTCATCTATCCTCATCTGCAGTGGACATCTTCAAGGCCTCCCTGTCTTAGCAGAAGCATCCCCAACCCCTGCCCTCCCCAACACGTGTGAACCCTCTCCCTCCACTTTGCTGACTCACACCGTCTTCTAAGCCTTTCTCTCAATATTTGCAGGTGAAATGTCTGAATAAACAGCTCCCTTCTATGGAAGGCCCTTGGGCACCTCAAACTTAACATGTTTTCACTGCAACTCACCATTATCCCAAACAAGCCTGCTTCCTCTCCCATGAGAAGCACCACGGAGTACCCAGTCATGCAATCCCCTTCCAGCCCCTTTTCTCCACCCCCCACCCCCATGACTGCTCTAGTAGGTCTCCTCTCTTACCTGATTCCTGCAGCTGATCTCCAGGTGGGCCCTTCCACACATTCTCTCCTGGACAGCCAGGGGAGCTTCCCTAAGCCCTGTTTAATCCTGTCACCTCTCTGCCCAGAACTCCTCAGTTACAGAATTACCACAGGTGAGCATTCAAAGCCCTTCACACCCTCAGCCCTCATGAGCACACTCTTTAGTCTTTGCCTCCTCCAGGTCTTTTCTCAGGCTCTTCCCTTACTGTGGAATGTGGAATGCACTTTTACTGTGGAATGCACTTTTCTCTCCTCTTTATGAGGCTAGTCTTGTCTGCCAAGGCCCACCAAAGATGCTACCTCTTTCAGGAAGCCTTCCCTCATGTTCCAGGTGGGGGTCATCTCTGTCCCACAGGGCCTTGTCTGCCCTTGAGTCTGAGTACTTCACAGCTCACCTTGAGTTTCATGTCGTTGTGTTATCTTACCACAGCTGTCCTCAACACAAACTCCCAGAACACCTTCTGCGAGCTGTCTCCTATAAGATGGGCCTCAAACTGCTGAGATCTGTGCATCAAAGTCCCTCATCCACCCACTTTATGCATTTGTGTTAAGTACCTCCCAAGTCTGGGTCAAGGAGGGGCTAGCGATCCAGACATGAATGCCAAGGTCCCTGCATTAAAGGTACTTAAGTCTTGTGGGGGAGAACAGTGTGTGCTGAATGTTACAGGTGCTCCAGTCTCTGCAGCTCCAAAGAGCATGTTGTCATTTTTAATGGAGGCTTGGGAAAGGAGTCTTCCATGGAAGAAGTGGTATTTGAAGTCTGAAAGAGAAATTATGCTTCCCCAGGTATGTCAGAGGGGAACTGCATTCCAGGCAGATGCACTTGAAACTGCCCAGCACAACCTGGGAATTGCCACAAGTTGGCGAGCTAGAGCAGGCCTTCTCAGCTTCTGCCCTGTCATCACTCTGGGCTGTGTAATTATTTGTGACAGAGGCTGTCCTGTGGGTTGTAGGATGTTTAGCAGTATCCTTGGTCTCTATGCCACAGATGCCAATAGCAACCCTCCTACCGTGCGACACTCTAAATGTCTCCAGGTTTTGTCAAGTGTTCCCTGTCGGGTAAAATCACCCCCAGTTGAGAGCCACTGGGCTAGAGAATGTAGTGGAGTGGGAGGCCCAGGGAAGGAAAAATTTGATGAGGTAAGCAGGATCCAGATCAAGAAAGGCCTTGTAAGCCAGGCCTAGAATATATCCTGGAGACAGGGTGGCCAGGGTGGGGACTAGAATGAAAGCAGCAAAGGGTTTAGAGCAAATGGCAAGCATGGACAGATTTACATTTAAGAAAAATATCCGAGGTCAGGGCCTCACTGTGAAGTGCCCAGCAGAGTATCTTTCCCTGAGTGGGGCAGTCACTGAGGATGCACTGAACAGGCGGATGAAGAAGGTTGGCCGTCCCTCCCTCCCCACAGACCCTCTGTAAGACCATCCCTGTTTGTCTGTGGGCGAGACAGTGGTACTTGGGAGAGCTCCCTAGGGCTGTGTCCCTCTCCTCTCTTCCTCTTCCTCCTCCCTCATACATGTTGAGTAAGAAATACACTGACACCAAGTTCCAACATTGCTGCCATTATGCTAGTTTTTGTGACAAGGGGAACAATTTAGAATTAAACAGACCTGGGTTTGAAGCCACCTACTGGCTGAATGACCTGGGGACACTTGGTCTGCCAGCTTTGGTTTCCTCATCTATAATAAAATTCCTCATCTAGAATAAAATTCTCACAGAATCTAGGGCTTCTTGCAAAGACAATATGAAATAGGGCATGGCCGGACGTGGTGACTCACACCTATAATCCCAGCACTTTGGGAGGCCAAGGTGAGAGGATTGCCTGAGCCCACAGATTCGATACCAACTTGGGCAACTTGACAAGACTCCATCTCTATAATAAATCAAAAATTAGCCAGGGATAGTGGTGCATACCTGTAGTTCCAGATACTTGGAAGGCTGAGGTGGAAGGATCACCTGAGCTCAGCTGGTCAAGGCTGCAGTGGCCGTGAGCATACCACTGCACTCCAGTCTGAGTGAGACTCTGGCTCAAAAAAAAAAAAGGAAATTGGGCAGAAGCGACTCTACCCATTCAGATGAACAGAGCAGCAGTGTGTCATCTTGGCCACAAACAGCAGATGGCGATCGTGGTCACTGGCATCACTTGGGTTTAGTGATATAAAGAAGGCAAAGCAGCTTCTGGAACCTAAATTTGACAGTTGAGAAGCTTCTGTACGTAACCGCCCCTACTGTGGCCCCTAGCGCCATGTCAGTCTAGGACTTAGAGGTTGCTAAAATAAAAATGCATGACTTGCTTCCATCTGCTGTGCAAAGTGCAGGGAGTCTAGAAGGGATTCCCAGAGCCCACATACCCTGAATATTTACTGTCCTGATGTATGGCTTTTTTTTTTTTTTCCTTTGAGACAGCATCTTACTATGTTACCTGGGCTGGTGTTGAACTCCTGGGCTCAAGCAACCTTCCCCACCTCAACCTCCTGAGGAGCTGGGACTACAAACATGCTACTGTACTCAGCTTGCTGATGTGTTTAACACCATTCCCACTTCAAGGATCTCCTAAAAGAGAAGGAAGAGCGCATGTGGAGGGTGCCTGAGCGCTCTAGTAGGTCTAACCTTAAAGGCAGAACACTCGGGAGCGAAGTTCAAGAGAGATTATTGAGAGTTGATGTGAACCCACTTAGATTCCTTTGGAACTCTGCCACTTTTGACTCCATGGGCTTGCAGAAGCCAACTCACATATGGGCAAGCAGAGGCCTCCTGACTGCCCAATCGGTCCCCTGTGAAGCCACACTTCATGGCTATGTGCTTTGTACTTAAGTTTATTTCACTAAACCACGTAGAAATATACTGAAGTATTGCTCTTTCCAGGCTCCAAGCAAGGAGGCCTCAGAAGCCACTGTCTCCAGCCCCTTGAGCTCTTCTTCTCAGGCCCATGCCCCAAAGAGAGGAGAGCCAGTGTGTGCCCTAGGGTGCACTGTGAGGCACTTTTGGAAACACCCTAGTTTAATGTGGTGAAGTTGAAACAGATAAAAGGAACCAGGCAAATCTGTTAAGCACATGGGAGGTGTTAGTAGGTGAAAATCATGTCCTTGGTATAACCCAGCTTCTTCAAGTTAGGGTGAGCGGCTGTCTGGATCAGGGGTGGTGGGCCACACACTAGGATGAGTACAGACTGCCCAGGAGGAGGAAGGTGTTCCTTGATCATGTCGTCAGTAATGAAGCCTGAGCTGTACTGCCAGCCTGAAAGGAAACACAATCAGAAAAAGCCATGGGGTGCCAGGCAGAGTTCCTGACCCCGAGCCTCCTGCCCACCCACCCTCAGGCCAGGGAGGAGACAGCAAGTTGCCCTACAAAGGCTCAAAAGTCTCCGCACTACTGTTCCCTCCAGAAAGCCTGAGTAGAGGATATGAGGTCTGAGATAATCCTCTGCCGTGTTCACCCCACCCAGATCCCAGGCTCACAGCTGGGACTCTGCAGCCCCTCTGGTGTCTGCCTGCTGTTAGCGTTGACGAGGATGGAGAACACAGTGCAGGGTACCAAGGTATGGTGTGAATCAACACAACAAACTAGAGATGGGCAATATGTGACATGGTGGTGTGTTTGTGGAACTGCTCGGTCAGTCAGCGCCCTCTGTGAACAGAGAGCTGTATGACAAGACAGGTACAACCAGGCTCAGAGTGGGAGGTGCTTGTGAGATGCTGGCTGGCTCTATAGCAGCTGTCTGGGGCTCAAGATGTGAAGACTGCTGTCCAGGTGAGGTGGAAGGTGAGGGATGTGGTGGCTGTAAGCAGAGGCGTGAGTGTGAAGGGGTCAGTGCCTGTATACAATTCGGTGTGTCCCTGGGTGGTCTAGTGGCTAGGATTCGGCCCTCTACAGTGCAGTGTATATGATGGCTGTGTGGGTTGGGTGGGTGTTCAGGGTAGCCTGGTGGTTCAGGGTCCCTCTTAATCTTCAGTGCAGTGTGTGGAGAGCTACTGAGGTATTGGACACCTGGCCTTGACTACCCATATAGGCAGCTCATTGCAAATCTGCTCCCTCAAATTCTTGCATTTCCCATCTGAGCCTAATGCTTCACCCCCAAGTCCAGCCCTAAGAAACAAACAAAAAATAAAACCAAAGAAACAGAGACCAGTCTTCGAGGTGAGTCAAGGGTTGGAGCTGACCCGAGGTGGGTGAGGTTAACAGCACGTACCAACGGGAGGCCTGTCCAGGGTGTACCACAGGCTGAACTGGTCTGGGTAAGTACTGGCAATTTCTTCAAGCTCCTTTCTCAGCAAAATATCCTCCTCCGTCTAGAAAAGAAACAGGGCCATCCTGTTGTTCCTCAGACTGACTACATAGGTCAGCACGCTCCTACCCAAGCTGCCGTCACTCCAACCCAAGTCCTCGCTGCAGACTCCCAAGGCAAATGAGAGTTCTGCTGCTGTTTCTCCAAATTAAACCCTCTGTCTTGTGGACAGAGTTGGGGGAGCTACAGTGATTGTCTCCAGCTGGAGCATAGCCAAGTAGCCTCATTCAGTGCTCCTGGACCCACTTCCTATACCCACACTGAACTCCAGTCACTGCAAACCCAGCTAGAACAGACTCAGTGCAGGCCCGAGATCTTCTGCAAGGAATTTAAGGGGCTCAGGAAGTCATACAGTAGAATAGCACTGGAGAGCTGAAAGAAAACAGTCTAGAGCCTCCTTTGTGGAAAAGGGAGCCAAACTAAATATAACTTGGCACAGGCTCAGAGACAGTGCTCAGAAGACCTGGATCATAAACCTCTTCATGATTCTTGTCCCAGTAATTCCACTTCCGGGAAAATAATCTAAATGAAATCAAGCCTAGGCACAATTATTCATCATAGTATCATTTATAACTGTGAAAAGTGAAAACAGCCTGAATATAGGAGAAGATTTAGTAAATTATAGTGCAACTTGATATAGACTATGATGAAAATATTTATAAAGCATTTTAATGAGAAGAACATGCCTGTGTGGTAATACTGAGTGAAAAAAAAATATATATATATATATATAAATTGTAAATATATAGCATATACAGAATAAAGGCAAAAAATAAGTAATATTTACATTCTGTATTTTCTGAAATTTCCACTGAAGCATCTGTGATTTTGCACTTGGCAAAAACACAGCAGTATATATTAAGGAATGAAGGAAAGCTCAGTGCTTGGGGTTGGCTGGGGAGACACAGAAGAGTTCCACAAAAACAAGCAAAGAGCAGGCCTGGACTTAACTCCGAAGCTGCCTGAGGCCCCGCTGAGCCCACTAAGCCCTCCTACAGCTGCTGGCACCCAAGCAGCCTGAGCTCAGTCAATGGGGGAGGAATGAAAGAGCCCCAGCTCAACAAACATTCCATCCCACCACTGCAAGCTTCAGGCTGACTCAGCAGAACTGACCTGGTTGGCAAAGATGAGGGACATCTTGGTCTTGTCACTGGGGTTCTTGGTGATGTGGCGAATGAGCTGCAGCATGGGTGTAATTCCTGGAACACAGCAGGCAGCCAGCCTTCTCCTTGTCTCCGAAGCCCACAGTCCCTGGTCTGGAGCAGCTTCCCACTTTTCCTTGGTCCCAGACTTTTCTCACTTGTGTCCCCAAACCCAAAGTGGGAAAACTCCTCACTTTCGTTTTCCTTTCTAATGCAACTATAAGTCGGAAGCTCTTCCTCATTTTCTTTCTTTCTTTTTTTTTTTTTTTTGAGTTGGAGTGCAGTGGCACACTCACGGCCACCGCAGCATTGACCCCTGGGCTTAGCGATCCTTCTGCCTCAGCCTTCCAAGTAGCTGGAACTATACGCATGCACTACCATGCCCAGCTAATTTTTTTAAATTATTATTTATTGTAGAGATGAGGTATTGCCAAGTTGCCCAGGCTGGTTTTGAATACGTGGGCTCAGGCAATCCCCTCACCTCAGCCTCCCAAAGGGCTGAGATTATAGGCTTGAGCTACAGCACCCAGCCTCTTCCTCATTTTCATATGGCAAGATAAAAATAACTTTCTGAGCTCTTATGGGTCCTCATTTATAGAAAAGAATGAATGAAGAGTAAATGTGATGGTTTTACAGGTGCCTATTATGGTTCCTGCCAAAGTGTAGGTCTCCTTAAACACTTGTTCTCTTCTTCCAGGTGTTCATTTCAAGGGAAGGGGAGAGTTGGGCTTGAACTGGATCCTGGAGCACTTGGGAGAACATGGGTGGGTCTGCCCAGCCTGGCTCCCAGCCCGGCAGCCAGCATATTGGTTAGGGGAAGAAGGGCATGCAGGGTTCATTGCAAGACCTGTCACTAGTTTACTGTTCCCTCCTCCTACACCCAGGAGAGAAATCTCTCATGTCATCCCGTCTAAAATCAAATGACTCCCAAGTCTGAATGGTCTCAGGGCTCACCCTCTAAATGAAGCCCCCAAAAGCCTTTTACCTGTGCCCCCAGCAATCATTCCCAGGTGATGGACCAGTTTTTTTTCAGGCTCACTTGTTTTGTCTGGTCTGACCTCGAGATTCCCTGGAAACACAGAGAATGCTTCTGATGTTAGCAGCTCTTGCCTAAGAGACTGCAAAAGATCACTGATGTACCTTAGGACTCCCAGAAGGCGAGTCTCCCTAAGGGATTGTCTGCAGCATTTTAACCCAGAGAAGTAGACCAAGGTTCAGCCAGCCCTGGTGCACCAGTGCATAAAGTGGGACCTATATAGCCTGGGCCTCCTCAGGGAATGGCTAGGCCTTTTTTTAGAGGGAGGCAAACTGAAGTTAATATGAAGCCTCAAAGAACATTCTCACCCTCAGCAGTGATCCAGTGAGTAAATGATAAATATGTGAGTAAATAAATGAGTATGGACTACCTCTATTCATTTTTCAGTCTCAGCAGGCACGTTTTAAGTATCAGGCATTGTGCTGCAGATACAGTAATGAGGAAAACCCAACTATGCCCCTGCTTTAATGAAGCTTAGAATCTCATAAAGTAGGTGTCTGAATGGATGGTGCATGTGGTCATAAATTGTGTGTGAATGAATGTAAGAAGACTTTAAGGACAAGCTCATGTGACTCGAATCTAAGAAGTGTTCTAGAACAATGGAAGCACTGTAGGAATCCCTCTCAGCTGGAAGCCCAGTGTGAAACCCCCAGTACCTGGCCCACAGTAGAACAGGCGACCCTTTGGCCCTCGAAAAAAGATGGTGTCCCCGATTTTCATGTTTTCCAAGTACTGAGTCATCTTCCCCCCTTCAGGATAATGGGAGTGTACATTTTTGAAGTAGATCTGAAAAACAAGGCAACATGGTTTTCACACCCCAGAACTAAGCCACAGCCACACACAACTAACAGATGCATTTTCTGCTAGAAGCTATGTGGAGAAAATGTTCTGCTCTCATCGTTGATGTAAGCGATCCCTGAAAATGAAGACACCACAAGGTTGACTGACTGTAGCATCACTGTTAAATGACATTGCTGAAAAGTTCTGTCAGGGCATGTGTCCCCTCAGAGGAAACACACTGCCCCTCCACCCCCCCACGCTCTTTTTTTTTTTAGTCAAAGTCTCACTCTGTCGCCCAGGCTGGAGTGCAGTGGTACGCTCATGGTCACCGCAGCCTCGACCTGCTGGGCTCAGGCGATCCTTCCGCCTCAGTCTTCCAAGTATCTGGAACTACAGGCATGTGCTGCCATGTCCAGCTAATATTTTGATTATTGTAGAGATGGGGTCTCACTAAGTTGCCCAGAGTGGTCTCAAACCCATGGGCTCAGACAATCCTCTCACCTCCACCTCCCAAAGTGGTGGGATTACAGGCATGAGTCACCATGCCCAGCGCCCACCACTCTCAATAGGCCCGGAAGCATGAGGCAGCTGGACGTGGTGGACATTACTTACCTTTATAATTAAGTCTACAAAGCCTTGGTCGTCATCACTGGAGACAGGTGTGTAAGCCCTGACCACCAACTCATTGTCAATTTTGGCCAAAAGCTGGACATAGTTACCTACAGAAAGGCATCAAGCGTTAGAGGTTTGAGCATGGCCAGCCTAAACAGGGTCCAGAAATCCTGTAACTGAGCTTCAGCAAGGAAGCAAATACTGCAGCTGGATGTCAGGAGGGAAGGAACCTAAATCCAGGATGCCTGGATCCTAGGCCTGCCCTGGACACTCCCCTGTGCTACCCTGGAAAGTTTCTAAGAAATGCTATTTCTCAAAGTTTTTCATTTTTTTAGGCTTCTTCCAATAGGACTAGTCTGACAGCAACACACAACACTGAGCTCTGATGCACAGAGAGGCAGCAAGGGAGCAGTAAGGAGGCTCAGGGGTCCAGCTGGCTGCCTAGTGAGTAATTTCATCACCTGATATGGTGAGGTCCTGTGTGTACAAGACAAGACGCTGTGGGTTAGGGATCTCCTCCAGGCAGGAAAGAAGCACCAGCAGTCTGTACAAAGTTTCTCTGAATCCCTGGGTCTCGTAGAGGTTTTCCACTTCACCAAGATTGACTCAGCTATCCAGTGGTGTTACAGATTGGAAATGGGATAACTTGGAACTCTAAGACTCAGAACTCTAGGACTGGTATTCACAATGGGTCCCTTCTTTCTCTGCAGAGAATCTAAGTGCTGGTTTGGGAAGGGAGGCACCTGACTCACCGGGCCTTTCTCCTGACTATTGGGAAATATCAGTTCTTCCCATCCCTCCCACGCACACAACACTTTGCAGTTTCTCGATTTTCATAACCATTAGTCAGTCACTTTACCCTCACAAGAACCCAAGTGAGGCAGATAGGCAGGCCTGGGAAATCCCATTATAGACAGGCTCAGAGAAATTGAGAGATTTGCCTAAGTTAGCCCAGCAAGGAGCTTACCATGAGATCTTAGATCTTCTGACACTTTTGTGTCAGCCAAATGGAACAATGAAGAAAGGTAATGTACCGTCCCAAGTCCATCCACCTATTTCCCCGAGCTCACGGCATCTTCCACACCTCAGGAAGTTGGAGACCTGTGTTTCTGATAGGAGCAGAGTGCCTAGCCCTCGAAGGCCCCAGTCCTGGTGATAACTCACCTACAGGAAGCCCTAAGACATGGTCTGGTGAGGGCAGTCCAAAGCGGAATCTCCTGGTGTTATGGTTGATTTTCTAATAAAACAAAACACAAGCAGGCTCTGTCAGCTTTTTTTTTTTTGAGTCAGGATCTCATTCTGCCACCCAGGCTGGAGTGCAGTGGCATGCTCACAGCCACTGCAGCCTTGACCTGCTGGGCTAGGACATCCTTCTGCATCAGCCTTCCAAGTAGCTGGAACTACAGGCACACGCCACCATGCCCGGCTAATTTTTTAAAAAATTTATTGTAGAGACTAGATCTCACCAAGTTGCCCAGGCTGGTCTTGAACCCCTGGGCTCAGGCAATCCCCTCGTTTCTGCCTCCCAAAATCCTGGGATTACAGGCGTGAGCCATCACACCCAGCTCTGTCACTTTCTAGAAGCCTTGCTGGCAGCTCAGATGCCTGAGAAAGGAGCACCTTTGGGGGCTATCCCAGCACATACACACAGAGCAGCGGGGAGCAAACTCAAGGCCATGAGATGACTGTCTGGCTGCTCCGCCTTCCCAGCCAGCATCCCCCCCACACCTTGTCTTCCTTCCACTCACGGGGCTGATCCATTACCTCTTTCTCAATCAAGGGCAGTGGGTACTTGGCTTCAGGGTCCTTTAAGGTGATAAGATTTCTCCTCCTGGAATTCATGCTTTTCAGGGCCAACAGGAAAACCGTGACCCCAATGATAGTGATGGCCAGAAGCAGTGATGGGTCCTGGCAGACACAATGTGAGCAGAGCCCCTCCAGTCTTGCCCACCTGGGGCAGCTCCCAGGCACAGCACACCCTTCCCCCACCAAAAGCACAGAAGCTGGACTATGCCAGAAGGATAGGCAGAAAAGGACTAGACCCAGAAGGCAGGCTGGGCATGTGGTGGACTAGAGGGTAGGGAGGGTCAGCTTCGGGTCACACGGGCCAGATGTTTCGGGTCCCATGGACCAGGCCACATACACAGCCTGAAGATATGCATGTCACCAAGTCCCTCCTGGCTACAGTCAAGGGTGCCAACGCTGGGACTCCCCTCCTGGAGGTGGAGGACATAACTTCTAACACAAATCAGGAATGAAAGCCCCTGCCCTGAGGACAGAACTTAGCTTTAACAAGGGGGCGCTCCATGATCTTAGGGCCTGGGGACTCACAACACTCTCCAGGGCAGGCGAAGGAGGCCTGGACACTCACCTGCCAGAGGCTCAGGCAGCCTCCCCGCTTCTGTCCCCAACTCTGCCACCCCGGCCCGCAAGGCCGGCTCGCTCATCTCCCGCCCCAAGCCAGACCCGCAGGGTGCTTCCCCGCCCTCTGCTCGCACCCGGACGCGCGAGGCCCAGCCCACACCACGCCTCCTCCGGACCAGAGCCGACCCCGCCCCTCCCCCGCCCCTCGGTTTCGCCCCGCCCCTCGCGGCGCGCCCCGTCCCGCCCCTCGCCCCTTGCCCTCACGGCCCCGCCCCGGGCGGGCGTTGCCCGGCGCTCGTCCGCCTCCAGTGAGGGTTCCCGCGACCCGGCGGGACGTTCCCCGGCGTATTTTCGCCCGGCCCTCCCGCCCGGCGCCGCCGTCGCGGAACCCACCCGGAACGAGTCGCCCAACATGTCAAACCGGCGTCGTCTGG